AAAATATAAAACACCACAAAAAAAAATAAAAAGAATCAAAGTGCAATGGGGAAGGGCCGAGGGGGGGGTCGGGGGGGGGGTTGGCTGGGGCCGAGGGGGCCAGCCCACCTCACAAAATCACACTGGGAGAGTGGGAGGAACCCACCTGCAGCTACCATCGCAACTACTAAAGCGGGGCCCGGGGGGGGCGGGGAGAAAGCAGCTTTGGAGATTTTGCTAGGCTGGAAATTCACTACAGTAAAAGCTTCAGACTGGTTCCAGCCTGAACTGCTTGCGGAGAGAAACACCCCCGCGCCCAGCACCATTTACGCCCCCCACACAGACGAATCAATTCGAGCCCAGCCTGCAGCTATGAGTAAGGCTGCCAAGCGCTTCAGAAGGTGGGCGCGTGCACCATGCGCTGCCCCTTACATCTGTGGACGTGGGCCCCCTCTTCCCCTGCTCCCAATTTTCCCTGGCCAATCCGGTTGGAAGAGGGAGGGCAGGGAAACGAGCCCATTCTATGGAGGCTCGGAAGAGATGCTCCCAAAGTGTGTAACCACGCCCGATTCTGGCGCCACCGCGCATCCATGTTCCGCTCTGTGCCCGCTTTCCGCACACTGGGTCCACCAAATCTGGCCTTCAAAAGGGGACCCCCCCATGATTCCGAAGGATGCCCCACCTCAGTTCAACAGTTCCTCTGCCCAGAACATCTGCTGTTCCCAAAGGAAACCCTGCCCTTCGGTTCTGCAGCAGCCCGCATTAAAATGCCATCTAACCACAGCTCCCTTTCTATCTTCCTGCATCCACGTTGGCCAGCTCCGCCCCAGGAGAGAGGGTGCCCCCCTCTAGTGCCATGCCAAAGGCTGAATCTGGAAATAGCAACTACGGTTAGCCTCTCTCGCTAGCCATAATATGGGCTTGCTTGCTTTTGAAGTAGCTCTTCGCGGTTGGCAAAGGCGCTGGGTCTTTTCCAACCAGAGATGCTGAGGATTAAAACCCCGCTAGTTAAAGAGATTTACAGCCTGCCTCCCATTCAGGAGCTCAAGGTAGCATAGAGGGCACTCCCTATTTTCCCCACACCACCCCTGTGAGGGAGGCTGGGCTGAGGGCATGAAGCTGGCCAACATCATCTAGAGGGTCTCTCTGCTCCTTGCCCAAGACTTTCCCCGATCCAACTCAATGACGTTTGGCACTCAAAGCCCACGATCAGCCCTTAGGCTCCGCTTCCTTCCTCATCTCTGGCTTCTGAGCACACTGCTACGGTAATCCTAAAGATTAGGAATCTGATGCTTCCCCACTCTTGCACTGCAATTCCCAGTCAACAACAAGGGAAAGGAAGCACAGTCCCGAGGCATAGTGCAAAACGAGCATTTTAGTTGCACGTTATGAGGATCCATCACAGCTGGCCTCGGGCACTCACGCAGAGGGGATCCCCAAATCTGCTTTCCAAAAATGCTGCAGCAGCAGTTTCACAGACCAGACATTTTTGCTCTCTGACATGCCTCAGTGGAGTTATTTTTCCAAACCCAAGGACAGCCCAGGAGAGTCACAAACTGAGGGTGCACGGGCACACTCAGGCCACTTTTACAGCAAGCCATACTCCACGTCCACAGGGCAGCCCCACAGACAACCTGTGCTTTGCAGCAGGACAGAGGTGGTCTCTGGCTTCCAAAGGTTAGAGCAGAATGAAAGAAGGGGAGCACCGTCGAACCTCTCTTTGAATTAATTAACAGAAGCCACATCGCCACCTAAGCTAGAAACTGGCCCTGTGCTCAACTCAAATTTACAGAAATAATCCAGGGGGGGTTCAATTTTAATAGAGCAGGAAGGAATAGGAAGAGCACAGGAGGACAGTTTTCTTTACATCTTTACAGAGATGATGACGGGGAAATGGATGAATTTATTCAACTGTCATTTAGATGTACCCTTCTCTTTTTTTATGCAAAAAGACAGATTACAGTGTGGATGGAAAGGTTTGCATTATAAAATTAACTGCCTTTGATCTTCGGTGGAGTCAGCTTTAGGAGAAACTGCTGAGGTTTTCCAGAGCTAAAAAAAAAAAAAAAAGCTAAAAAGCAACAGTTGGTTTGTAGCCTGCCAGGAAAAAAGAAAAGAAAAAAAAACCAGAGAGATTTTTTGGGGAAAAAAAAAATAGACCGCTAATGCTACAACTGCCTGTCCCAAATTTAGAACCCAAGATATAAGGTTTTTAACCCCAAAGCTTTAGTTCTACTTTATCTTCTTCGAAAGAAAAAAAACTGGATCTTTAACAAGGAATGTTTTACCTTGCAATCCCCTCCCTGCTTTAATCAAGTTAGAAAGAAGAGGCACGATGTGTGGGTGTGTGTGTGTGGGTGTGTGTGTTGGGACATTTATCCAAAAAGGCAAGTTCCAGCCCCCTTCTCCAGGCCTACCTGTGCCAGAGGGAGGAGGGACCTTGGGAAACGTTGTGCGAATGAAGGTGTCACAAAAGAAGTACAAAGCAGAGAAAGGAAAAGAGCAAAAAGGAGGGGCCATCACACTGAGCTGTCATCTTTGTTCTCCTGCAAGGCAAAACCAACAAACATTCCTCCCCCCACCCCCCCTTCTTGTCCTCCTCCTCCAGGTTCCCCAAACAGGGTACCATACCAACATTTTGGCAATTGCATGCTCGGGGCTAAGCCTTCCCCCCCTCCCATCTCAGCATCCCACCACCCTCTCCAATCAGCATGAAAGGTTAGGATTAGGGAATTAGATTTGGCAGTCCTTAGCAGGGAGGGGAGGAAATCAGAAGCTCAGTCTGGATTTAACCACCAATGTTGGCTGGCAGGGCGGCGCGGCAGAAGTGGGAGGAGCCTGGAGGAAAAGGAGTGGAGGGGGATGATAGAAGAATGGAGGAGTGGGGGGCAGGGGTGGGAGGCCGCAAGTTGTGAAAGGAGGCCCCGAAGAGAAGGAGCTGGCTAAGGGTTGGCCCCCTTTCTACTCTTCATCCCCCTTCCCCTGCTCCTACCTCCTGGCTTGTCAGGGCAGACTGATTAAAAGACTTTCCAGGAAGATGCACAAGGTGGCAATGCAAGGGGGCTGGGAGGTGGGGGCTCCACGCACCCCCCCCAGCTTCCAGCCTCGCTCCCGTTGTTTGCTGTCCTTCAAACCGGATAGCAGTCTCCATTTTGAGAAGGGAAACAAAGAACTCCACTGGAACAATGTCCCGGGCCCCCTCACTCACACCAGGCAATTCCTTCCTCCCCAAGCCCTTGGGGAGCAAGGAAGAAAGCTGCAGGAAGGTGGGAAGGGGGGGCTCCTGCCCCACCCCCTTGAAAAACTCCAAGCAAACCCCTATCCTTCCCCAGGCCGGCTAGGGACCCCAAAAGATTCAATTCTCCACGCAGCGCCACAAAGACACTGTGGCAGCTCCAGGGTTGCTCCTGCCATAGCGACCCATTTGGGGGGGTCCAACTTCCCAAGAAACATTTCCACCCGGCCACGGAGACCCTCAGCGGTGCTGCTGGGCATCTCTACAGGCGGGCATGTTCATTTCAGAGACCTCACCTGTCCTTCCACCAAAGAGGAACCCCGGGAGGGAGATCGCAGACCTTCATCTTCTTTCGGACGCAAAGGCCCACCCCGCCCCCTCGCCCTGCTCTCTCTCTCTTGGCCCCCGTTGTAGGACTTGAAACAGGGGCCTTCCCAAACTCTGGCAGCATCCTAGCCAGCC